ATTGGGAGGGCAAGTATAGTCCTCCCAGGAGAAGCAAAGCAAGTCACTTGGCTCGGCAGCGGGAGAACTCCGGCTGGTGGGGTGGATTAACTTCCCTAGAGTGATTTTTTTTTTTTTAAGATTTTATTTATTTATTTATTTGAGAGAGAGAAACAGCATGAGAGGGGAGAGGGTCAGAGGGAGAAGCAGGCTCCCCGCTGAGCTGGGAGCCCGATGTGGGACTCGATCCCGGGACTCCAGGATCATGACCTGAGCCGAAGGCAGATGCTTAACCATCTGAGCCACCCAGGCGCCCCTCCCTAGAGTGATTTAATCGGATACGACTGTTCCCGGGTCCTTTGCCATAAACTGGAGACAGCTCACTGGGCCTCTGCAGACCAAGCCCCAGATTGATACCACAGGCACCTGGGGGAGTGTCTGCACCCCCTACCCCCATGGCAGGGAGGGACGGTGGGCCTGGACACTGCACACAGCCTCTGAGCCCCCAGGGGCTCATGTGGCCAAACCAGAGCACTGGGCCCAGCTCAGTCCCCTCCCCAGCCCTGCTGAGCCCATTGCCCAGACAGGAGGATGGCCAGGCAACAGGCAGCACTGGGGGTCCGAAGACCCCATACATTACAGGGAGCCTGGGGGGAGGGGGTGCATGGTGCTTCACGTGGCAGATGCATCCCCCAAAGTCAGAGGAGCCGTTCTCCACTGCCTGGATGTTCCCCACTTGTCGGACCCTATGGGACAGGGCACCCACCCAGTCTAGGGCAAACAGTAGGTTTTCCTTGGACCGCGGCCCCTGCATGCCCCATCACTGGGCGGAACGGGACAGGCCCCCAGCGCTCTTGCCTGAGACTATCTCCTGGCCGGGGTCCAGCCCTCCCCTGCCCCGGTGCTCAGTAACCCTTAGAATGCATGCTGGCTCTCATCATAGACGTCCCTTCCCTGGAGGCAGAACCCCAACTCCCTCCTCCGGACTCCGGGCTCCTCCTGGTCTGGTCCTCAGGTGGTGCCTCCCAAACGTCCCGTCTTCTGGAAGCAGGCCCCACATGTCGGGGCAAGTCCTGAGCCGAGTGCCTCAGCCACCCTGTGAATGACTGGGGGACTCTGTGCCTCCCACTGCAGGCAAGCGGCTACTACCTCCACCCAAGCCACAGGCATGTCACAAGGGCCTACGACAGAGTGGACAAGGCGGTTCAAGCCAGAGAGGGCGGGCCCTGCATGCAGGGAGGGGCAGACACAGCCCCACAACAAGGGCAGCCCCCTCCCACGTGGCCAAGGCTTGCTGGACACACATCGTCAGGAAGGGGCACCTGAGGGGTGGACGCTGCCCGTCCCCTGGGGAGGTGCTGCCCCAGCACAGCTGGACCCTCCCCTTTGCCACGATGCCCCCCACAGAGGGGGGCTGGGACTGGGCCTGGAGGGTAGCCAAGAGCCCTTCCGGAAGCCTCCACTTGGCCAGGGTGGGTCCTGTTCCATCCTGGGAGTGCAGCGATGGCCTCAGAGCAGAGGCCCTAACACAAATCTTTGACTCGGTGCTCAATTAGCGCGTTTGGCACGCAGTCAGACACCCCCGGAGAGCAGCCCCCGAGAGAGAGCTCATTACCCGCGATTGCACATCTGGGGCCCACGCGGCCCTGGGGAATGAGCTCTGAGCTGTGATTTACAGCCACTTCTCTTTGTCCTTTCCTCAAGGAGACAAGATTCTTGGGACCCCAGAAGAGGGCTTCTGCAACACGGTGTGACGGTCGCCCTGAGGACTGGCCTCTGCCGTCCTGCTGTGGGTCAGCCGCTCCTGGGGGGCCCTCCTGTGACTGTGACTCAGGCAGCTTTGCAGAGTTCCCCTCGCCGGGACCCCGGGACCACAGGGCACGGGGGGAGGGGGTGGTTTCCAGCACGGGCCAGGGCGTCCCGGGGGTGGCAGGTCCCTCTTGCTGGGCCTGTAGAGGAGGCTGGACCCTGGCCCAGCTGGAAATGTGGCTGCAGGGGACGGGTGGCCACAGGTCTCTGGGAGAGGCAGGTGCCTCTCAGAAGCACTACTGCCAAACAAAGCGGCAAGGCGGGCCTGAGGGCCCAGGTTCGCTTCGGCTTTGGCGTGGACCAGCCCACACAGGGCCAGCCATCTTGGGCTCCAAGCTGCCTCTGCAGGGGAGCTGTCTATCAGCCACCCGCTCATTCAAGCTCTTGCCAGTGGGCGCCTGGTGGGTGTGGGATATCTCCACGGAGTGTGGGTCCCAAGGGAGGGACCCTGGAAGCAGAGGAGAAAACCAGACCACCTGGAGGGGCCGTCCTGACTGCAGAGGTCGGGGAGCCAAGAGGGAGCCGTGGTGCTCTGGCCTCGGAGGGTGGGGGGTGCCCCCCTCTTAAGAAGCATTCACGAGAGGCTGACGACAGCGACAGTAGCTGGCCGCGTCGGCAGAGGAAGGACACATCTGTATGTGCACACCCCACAGCCATGACAGGTCTGTGGACCCGTGTCCCCAAAGCAGAGGATGACGCTGAGTTCTGGGGCCGGGTCACAGGTCATAGCCCACACGGAGCCTGTGTAGACGCTGCACCCCACTGCGCGGGGGGCCCGGGTGTTCGCAGATAAGCAGAGCAGGACAGAGACTCCAAGAAGACCCATCCCATCAAGCGCTTGCACGCGGGGCTGCACACCTTCCAGAGAAGGGGAGTGAAGCCAGCAATGCAAGGGAACACAAGGAACGGGGGCCTCGGTATCAGGAACATGCAGGTAATTCTGTATACTCTGGTACGGGCGTTACGCTTGTCAGATAAATAGCTTGTAAAGAAATAAAGGTGCTGGAGTAAGGGGGGAGGAGCTGGGGTGCAGGGAGGGGCAAGGCAGGAGGGAGCTGGGGGTCTGCAGAGGATGGGCAGGCAGGGTCCATGGGAGCATTGGGGGGTGTCCCCCGGCTGTCGAGGCCCCATCCCCCCTTACTGCTGTCCAGACTGCTTCTGGCCAGGGAGGAGTGGGCACAGCTGGGGCTCCCCCACACTCCTGCCGGGTCCCAGCACCCTGCCCCTTCACTAGCACACCTCTGGGACCTCCTCCAAGGGCCTCCTCCCAGCTGCCGAGGGTCCCGGCTTTCCAGGGCCTTGCTGGTCTCTTCCTGCCCACCTCCCCTTGTCCAAGATGCCCTTTGGCTCAGGGAGCGCAGAGGCCCCTTGGTGGTGTCTACTCCCTGGGGGAGCACAGAACCCCTCCCTGACCCTGACACAGGGCTCTGCAGCCTGGGGCCCAGATGTATGTCCATCCTTTCATTCCCCGAAATACCTGAGCATGTAGAGTCCTTGCTGACCTGGGCACTGACAGGCTGCCATGCTCAGAGACGGTCATTCAGCAGATGCCACTGGGCAGAGGGGCCTTGGCTGTTCCTGGGGAGTGGACCGGGCTGGAGCATGCACGTGGGGGATGGGGTGGGGTGGGGCGGTGTGAGCAGCGACTCCTCTTGGCACCTGCCCGGCCCACCTCAGGGCCTTTCAGACAGCCCCTGGTCACTCCTCCATCAAGGGTAGGGGTGGGGTGAGGGGGTGAGGTCTGCCACGTGGCCCCGGGGGTTTGCTGGGGAGGGGTGGTGGGTGGGATTTGCTCTGGCCCCTCCTCCTCTGAGCAGGCACAACTCTGTGGCACCCCCGGGGCCTGGGCTCCAGGGTCCTGGTGACTGCACATCTTCCCTTACCCCGTGAGCCCTGCAGCTGCAAGTTACATCTGGGTCACCTCAGTGGTCCCTTTCCTTGTTTGTCTCACAGACCCCTGGGTCAGCAATCCCTGAGTTGGACACTGCTGTAGTGCCTCATCACGCAACAGGTTGAGAACTGCGGGAACAAAGCAAGGGCCCTCTGCCAGAGGCTGCCCCCAGAGAGCCCAGCCCAGAGCGGTCATGGCTGGGGCAACGGCAGCTCAGGGACCTATGGTTTCCACTTCACTGACAGGGTCTTAGAGGACTCAGGGCTTCTTTACCCATGGAGTGGGAATCCAGGCTCCGTTCCCGTGTCCCCCCTGTCCCCTCCCACCTTCCCCCAAGGAGCCATGTTTTGAGGACACCAGCTGGCCCTGGCCAGCCCTCCCCAGGGACCCCCCTGCCCTGACCCCGCCTCCCCCAACATATTGGTCCCCTCCAGCCGACTCTTGCTGAAGCTCCTCAAGTTTATGGTTTATTGCCCACCCCTCCTGCGGGGTGCGCTGCGTTCCCATGGTCCTCCCAGGGCGGCCCTGGCACATGGTAGGTGCCGAATAAATACATGATGAATGCATAAAGGTCTATACCAAATACCATGCTCTCCACCTTCCCTCCGACAACCCGTAAGTTTGCAGGGAAAGTGGCGTCTTCCTTTGTAGGATGTTTCCTTCAAGACCAGGAGATGGCATTCTCCAACCTCTCAGCTCTGGCCCAGGAAATCCACCCAACGCTGGGAGCCCAGAGGCGCTCCTTCCCCTCAGGCCGCCCACTGGACTTTCCCCGGACCTTCCCAGGAGGAGGGGCAGCGCCTGGGGGCACCGAAGGGGGTGCGGGTGGGAGCCCCGGGTAGCCCTGGGTGGAGGCGGGGCAGGTCAGAGGCGGCGGGTAGGGAGTCTTCATACCCGGGACCCCGACACTGAGGGGAGGGATACCCGAGGCGCGGGCCCAGGAGGGTGGGGACTGTCCCGGGCGCTGGCTTGGGAACCTCGAGCACCTGGCAAGGGGGGTCGCCGGGGTAGCGCACGAGACTTCACGCCCGCACCCCTCTCTCCCGGGGCGCACGCTCACTCCCACCCCCGGTCCGCAGCCACCGCCACTGACGCTCCTCGGGGCCGCGCACGCTGAGGCCAAAGGACACCGAAGCCGCACTAGAGACCCCAAGCGTTCCAGCCGGAACCCAGAGAGGGCCGGGCGACGGGGGCAGACCCGGGGTCGCTGGGGCGCAGGACAGCGACTAGGGCTCTTTCCTCGGCGGTGAAAAAGGGCTGGGAATCTCCCGCCTAAAGCGCAGCTCCTCGAGCCACGCGGGTTCTCCTGCCTCTGAGCCAGAGCGGCCCGCACCCTTTGGGAGGACAGTGTGCCCCTGTCGTCCCGCCCAGGCGCGCCCCTCCTGTCCCCGGTCGCCCCCGCCCACCGTCGGGTGGGTAGAGCAAAGAGGGGGTCCGGAGGAGGGACGCGACCCCGCCCCCCACTCGGCCCCGCCCACTCGGTTCCACCCCCACCGGAGCCCCAGCCTTGGCCCCCTAGCCTCCGCCGGGGGTGCGGGGTTTGGGGAGCCCAGAGGGGCCCCAATCCTGCGGGGAGAGTGTCCCCGCGCCCAGGCTGTCGGGGCGCACACACATTGTTTGCTCCGACGAAGTGGGGCGTGTTCTAAGCGAGGCCGAGGCGGGTCTCCGGACCTGGGGACCCGCCGCCCGACGCAGAGCGGGAACCCCGGAGAGGTGCGGCCGTGTCCTGGGGGCCAGGCTCCGCTGGGACAGAGCGCCTGCGGGGGCATCCACACCCGGATCGGCGAGTGCTGCCCGGCCGAGGAAGCGGGGAGAGAGGAACCGCACCGCACACGAAGCTGAGGGCCCCTAGCGTCCCGCAGCCTCCCCCCGCAGCACCATGCGCGCGCGCCCAAGCCAGGGGCGACCACCGAAGGCCCGCCCAGCCCCGCCGGCCAGTGGCTCTCGGAGCCGCGATACGGTGCAGGGACCCTCGGAGCCAAGACCCCGCCGCTAACTGCCCAAAACGAAAACGGACCCCCGAAGGACACGGTGCAAGCGGACGCCGGGTCCCTGTACAGAGCCAGGAGGCTCGCCTCCATTCACACCGTCCAAACCCTGGCGGCCGGGGTGAAACGCGAAAGTCGTTGCTAAGGAACCGCACCAGGCCTGAGAGAGGCCGGGGCCTGGCGCAGGCCGCCCACCCCTGGCCACGAAATGGCCGTCCGTTCGCTCTCGTTCGGGTCATGGCTCCGAGCAGGCAGCGAATAACAGTAAGAGCCAACTCTTAGGATTTAATGTGACACCCCACCCAGAAGGATGAAGGCGACAACGCCCAGCATTTTACTCAGCACCTGCTTTCCGCCGGCGCCCAGGGTCCACTGCGATCTAATTTGAATCCCACAGCGACGCTATGGGCTGGGAGGCTTTTCGTACCAGAAGGGGACACCTGGGGCCCCACGTGCCCCTGTGAAGGCCGCCCTTCTGCCCACTGCGCTTGGGGAGCGCACCCACATCTAGGCCCTGCATGTGGCCCCCGCGCGCCCTGGGTTCTGGAGCTCTGAGCCGGCTTGGTCCCCGTTCTCCCGGCTCGGGCTGCGCTTCACGAGACAGCGGCCCGTGGGCTTGGTCGTGGGGTCCGGGTCGAAGCCCGAGGCTCAGGCTGCCTCCCGGGAACCAAGCTGCGACTTCGCGACCAGGAAACGCCGGACCGAGAGGTCCGGACGGTCCCCGCGCCCCGACCCGGCAGAGGGCAGTGCCGCGGGCTGGGAGGGGACCGGGAACTGCCCGCCTGGCAGCGCCCGCGAGTCGCCGGCCTCGCGCGTGTCCCCGGGACGGGTCTCGCCACCGCGCCAGCAGTGTGTTGGTGAAAGCAGGGTAGATTCGCGTTGGCCCTTCGGCGCGTGGACTACCGTGGACTACCGTGTTCTACGAGGTCCAGCGTCCCCCGCCCGTCCGCGACAGAGAACGTTACCCCCAAATGTTCGCGGTACTCCTCGACACCTGAGCCCGGGGCGGCCGGAAGCCGCGCGGACGGCGTTGGAGGCCCTGGTCGGGCTCCACGACCGTGCCGGCTGGCTCCCCGCCGCCGCGCACCTGGGGCTCTTCACCGAACGGGGCGCACAGAGCGTGCTGAGCGGATCCTCAAATCTGCATTCTTTCGGGCGATAAAATATGTTCTCGTATTTTTTCCTGATTTCCCATTAAAACCTTTGCCTAACTAAACTCCCATCCAACGGGATTTATTTCATCCCGGGGGAGATAAATCAGGGGGCAAATTTACAGCCGGGGAGGCACCTGCCTCGCTAATGGGCCCTTCATGGAGTGCGCGGCCGGCGGGGGCGCGCAGACGGGCGGGGCGCTGGCCAATGGCCGGGCCGCGGGCGCCAGCAGCCAATCAGCGCGCGCGCCGCGCGGGGGCCCCCGCGGTTATCAGCGCGTCCGGCCCGCGCGGCGCC